ATTCCAATATACAAATATTGGCTGTGGAAAAATATTCCAATATACAAATGCTGGCTGGGGAATTCTGGGAGTTGAAGTCCACTCATCTTAAAGTGGCCAAGTTTGGACAACACTGACATAGAGCATCCCCCCCGGGTACAGGGGTGCTTCAGATAGTACAACCTGACTGGTAGGAACCAATATTCATGTGGTTGGTTGGTTTTCTTCTTTGTTAGAAGAAAGAGTTGGAAGGCTCATTCCTCCTATATATCTGTAGCAGACCTGAACCACATTTTGTCATTGCAGCACATTCCATGAGAAAGTAGTTATGTGTCATTTTTGTGCTCCAAGTTCCAAAGTAATTGGGCTGACTTTAGAGACTATATCTTACAGACTAGAACGTAGCTAATCTTGCAAATTAAGGTGCTATTTGCTATTGCCTTTGAAGCTATTACCTCTGAAGCAATCTTAATCTTCAAAGTTGACCTAATTTAATCTTAAGAAAAGTCAATTTAATTTCTATAACTGGTTACATCTCAGAAGTAAACTGTGCAGATAAAACATTCTATACAGTATTTAACCTTTGACATTTTAGGTATAGAAGAATTGGGAAAGATTCCTTACTGAAATCCTGGAGAGTTATTAATAGACCAGGGACACACTATTGAACTGTGACAACTGATTATCTGATTTGGGGTTCATCCTTATGTCCTGCTTGCTGAAGCATGAAGAAGCTTTACTATTTTTGAGAGATATATCCTCATGATGTCACCTCCAGCTCACCCCCAGCCCTCTACTTAGGCAGCCTAGAATTATTTTTAATTAGTCTAATTGGTTGTCTTTTTCTCCTAATACAATATGTTTCACATGGACAATCTCAGGCAACTTGGGGATGAACCTGAGAATGTTGTGGCGGGGGGGGGGCATCTGCTGAGCTCCAAATGGCCTGGCACATCTGTGGCAGAAATGTCCCATTCCCATCCAGTTGCTGGGTGCTGCACCTCTGTGGCCATTTTGGTTTTGGCTGTGAGAGAGCAGAGAGCAATCTTTTTATCTTCATCAAAATCCCAATAGATCTGTCAGCCAGGAATCCTGCTATTTGGTGTGTATGCATTATGTGTGTGTGTATGTGCACGTGTTAGAGAGACCACAAATTAGGGAAAGTGCAGCTAGAAAAGAAACTGTTCTATGGGTAGGACTGAGGCTTAAAAGCAGTGTAAACAATCTAGCAAAAAGGAGTAGAAAAGAAAGGGATCGGAGGAGCAGGAGGCAGGTTTTTTATTTCCTTCCCAAACTCCTGCATGCAGAGCCAATTGTGGGAGTGCTGGAAGGTCAGAGAAAGAAAGTCTCAGAAGGTCTCAAGAATGAATTGAGACACATCTGAGGGTAATCCACAACACTGACAAAAAGGGCACCAACAGGAGAGTCCTGCGCTCACCATGTGTCCAGCAGTGAACAAGCCAAGAAGAATCTACAGTGCTGGGTTAAAAGGAAAAATTGGTTCTGCATCAACAGGGACCATAGGTGACAGCTATCTTAGCAAGAGCAACGAGAAAGTCCAAAAAGAAGCTGAGAGAAGCTAATGGCAACAATGGCCTCAACTGACCCTTAGTACCCAGACACTTGGAAAGAAACCAGCTGACAGCAACAAATGGGGTGCATATAGATATAGTGATCTTCTGTTTCTGACAGGACTTTTGCTGTCCAAGGGAATCAATAGTTCTATTAAAGTATTTTGTAAGTGCTACCATCTATAGGTTATCTGAAAAGCAGCTACATGGTAGCTTCTGTAATATTGTTGCATAAGGGTATCAACTTCCTGGGCCAACTACAGTCCTGTTAGAAGCAGCACAGTCAATAATAAAAATTAAGGTTAAATAAATTAATGATTAAAATTAAGGCTATAACCCCCAACTCCACTCTATTCTGGAGAATGACCAATGGTTTCCCATTGGTAGATGATGTTGGGTTGGGGCAGAAACGATGGAAGGAAATGTACCAATCAGTGCCCTGAAACTACCCTGCATTAAATTGTGAAAGGGCAACAACACTGAGGCAAGGTAAAGGTAAGTAGTGGGGCAGCACGAGTTACGTTAATATACTTTCCTCCTGATCCAAAGATGGGAGGAAAGCCCATCAATGTGGCCTTGCAGGAAGCCCTTGGTAGAAGGCAGTTTTCTCTGAAATTCTCACCACCTGCCCCTCCCCCCACACAATACAATATGATATCTCTGCTATCCACATTATGAGTTTCTGACTGAGGAACAGGCATGTTGGGGGGAGGGGATTAATTAGCAACCCTGCTCCTACAATAGTTTTCAAGCTGCTGTGACAGCCTCAGCACTGAGCACCAGTTTTGATTACTTCCCAGACCCAGATCCATTCTGGTGCTGTGAAGTAAAGACAAAGATGCTTGCAGATATCCTTAGTATGCAAATTTTTCTAAGGACATCTGCAATGGAATTGAAAGTGGTTGTTTGAAGGAGGATTAGAGGAGAGTGATTAAGGTAGAGATAAGTGGTTTGGGTTCCTTCCAGATGTTTTGGACTGGCCCACATTTCTAAACTGCTTGGAACTGATCAGCACTGAACTCCAAAGCATCCAGACCTCATAGGCTCCCGTTCCCACGCTTAAAGATTTCCGTGCGGGGACAGATTTGCTCCATGAGATGGTGCTCTCAGCGCAGCCCAAAGCCTGCCTGTTGCCTCGGCCGATGATGAGTCACTGTCTCGGCAGCTTCCGAGCATCATTTCCTAGAAAGATGAGGTAAGAAGTAGGAGGATGAAAGGGAGGAACGATGCGTCAAGTGACGCTTCTGATTGGCCGAGAGGATTGTGCAGGACTATAAATAGATGCTTTCCGAAGCGCTCGGGGCAGAAACTGTTGGAGGTGCGCTTCGTTCGGGTTTTGTTTCGCTCTCGGTGCCCTCGGGGAATGCTGGCTGCCTGACTGTGCCTGTGCCGCCAACGCCGCGCCCAGGACGCGAATGAAGAAACTTCTTCTCTTGCTCTTCAACTATCGGGGACTCGCGAGAGGGGGGGGACGCAAGGGAAAACGCCGCCGAAAATGGCCTGCTTCCATATCCGAGCCGCGCGGCCCGAGGACTGCGCCGATATTCTGCGCCTCATAAAGGTATACCTCGCTTTGTGCCAGCCCGGGAGCCTCGCCCGGCCGCCGCGCGCAGCCCCGGCTGCTGGGGAGAAGTCTTAATAAAGTTAAAGCCAAGGCTGTTCGGTTCGCCTCCTTTGGTTCTCTTGAGCAGCCAGAAAAGTTTTGCGTAATATAAAGTACAGAGCTTTTGCCAGCTGATCGCAGACATCGGGGTAAAAGGGTGGAGAAAGCGAAGGGTTATCACAGCAACCAGAAAGGCGGCATGATTCCCGCGGAGTCCGGCTACTTTATCAACAGCCTTCCAAAGGCCATCTGACTTTCAGGAGACAGCAGCGAGGACAACAACAAAAATCCAGTAAAGTAGCATTAATACACAGAGGCCTGGCTACCATTTTACTTGCTTTTCTTTACATACAATTTCTCTTGTATTAAGAAAAACAAGAGGTCTCCTGGCATTTTAAGAATCAGCACATCAATTATGCCATATGTTTTCCTATGCTGAACTCTACAAAGCTTCAGCTGTGAAAGAAATAATTGGCCTTTGATATGTTACAAAATTAAGTACCTATCCCTGTGGAAATGACCATTAATTATAGATACTGTACACTGTATTTATGTTTATTTCCCTCCAACTTTGACTGTTCTGTTTTGTCCTATTCCAGCTATGGACCTAAATATATTTTATCATAATACTCCATTTTTGCTTATGTGGATTATAGCACACAAAAGCTTAGACAAAAATAAGTGTATTTCTGTTCAAGGAAATACCAAACTGTTTGTTGTTTTTTTTCTGGCAATAAAGTAATAGAGCAAACAATATTTTACTGCCACAGAGATTGAGCAAACAATTTCCACCTGCAGTAACCTTTGCCCTTAAAGTGATATGCTACAGCACTTATTTTTTAAAAACAAGTACATTAAACAAGATAAATTGCAGTATTTCACTTAAGGGCAAAGGTAAAACTCCTGGGAGTGGAGATAGTTTGCTCAATCCTGAAAAACAGCCTTACTTCCTTCTGGACACAGATATCTTTGCCCTTGTGAGTTGGCAAAGAATTCCTTTCTCTTATGCAACAGTCTTTATGGTCACCAACCTCTGTGATACTGTTAAAAACAAGGCTTAAGTTGTAATTGATTCTACAATATCTAGTCCAATTCTTTTGTCCTAAGACAGGATGCTGAGAGCCAGACATACATATGATGTTAAATCTGGATCCAATCCAAAATTGGATTCTGGGATCCATTCCCAAACACTTGTAGAATAATGGAAAGAACCATTCCCAAGACTAAATCCTAATGTTTAGTAGAATTCTACATTAAAAAATAAATGTATGGGATTATATATTATAAATTTCTTTCGACAATTTAAGTACTTAGAGTAGCCACAGACATCCAGAGAGTTCAAATCCAGGAATATTTTTTTGGAAGTATGTCCCATGGTATTCAGTATGTCTTGCTTCCAGATAGGTTTACATGGGACTGCTGTTTCATAGTGCAATTCTGTGTCCATTTGCTCAGAAACAGCCACCATTATATTGTACTTTAGCAATTATCAGAGGATTTCCTCAAGATGCTTACTTTCATAAACATTTTTCCTCATATGAGTAGATAATGTATTACATAATGGAGTAAGGAACACAACTTTCCAAATGAAAATAAATGGACTTATTGTTCTTTATGTCTAATGGAACAGGAAGTTAGCCATAATATGTTTTGTTTTTGGACAGGAGCTTGCTAAATACGAAGATATGGAGGATCAAGTAGTACTGACTGAAAAAGGTAATATTATACATTAGAATAAATCTGGTCCATTTAAATGGGAGATTGGGAAATGGTAATTAGATCAATCATATGTTCTCATTCTGTAGATCTACTTGAGGATGGTTTTGGAGAACATCCTTTCTACCACTGCCTCGTTGCAGAAGTGCCAAAAGAACACTGGACACCTGAAGGTGAAACTTGACTGCTGTAATGTCTTTATTAGAAAATAATAGGATTTAAACACTCTTAATAATAGTTAGAATTATACATAAACATTCCAAGGATAAATACATAAGCATTTTAAAACATGAAAATATGTCTTGGATTCAGACCTTGTCTTCCACAAATGAAAGAGTTCTTTAATCCAACTGATCAGTTCTGCTGGCAGAGAGAGGGAGAAAAAAATTTTTTTGGTGATTCCTTCCTTCCCATTCCCTTAAATATCTACTCTGGAGAATTTGAGAACCACCCAGAATAGCATGATTGCTAACAGTGGGAAGAGGGCTACAGGGGAGGGTTGGAGAATCATCTCCCCACTTGCCTGCTGGCTGGACTCTACCAAGCATTTCATTCAGAGAATGCTCCTATTGGCAAGAGCAAATTCTGAATCCAACCTGGTGTCTTTTTTCTTTTGCTTTTTAAAAAATTGTTTAGTTATCCTGAAGACCATGGAGAACCAGGTATAATAGAAGAAAAAAAGGGTAATTCCACTTCGTTACATGGTTGTTCTTGTTTGACCCTAACTTATCGCTATGCAATCCTGTTAAATCACGTTTTCTTTAATTTGTCCCAATCTTCAGGTTACAGTCTCTAGCTTCGCCATGTACATGGCCCTTCCATGTACATGGATGGGCGGGGAGGTAACTAAAAGATCCGTTACACAATAAAGTAGATGATCATGATACATGAGGTAAGATCTCCAGGGACAAATACTATTCCCAAACATTTACCTCAAGTAAGAAGAAAGCATAAAAACACTCGGTAGATCAGAAATCATATATGTAATTTCTGTTTTAAGAAACCTATAAAGCATAGTAGAATATAAAATCGAATTGGAGTCAGTAGTGTCTTATGCAGATGTAACTGGAAAAAGCAATAAATGGTGAAAAAAGTGAATACTTTCTCCATTTTACAACTGCTAGTGAAAAACACTGCTAGCAATTAATAAGGCTATTGCAATTCAACTGAAGAATGCAGCTACTCTTAATAACCTTAGATGTTATTGGTGAAACAATGCTGTTGCCTCCTTTAAAGCATCTTTGCATTGTGAACAAACTGTCAGAAATTTATTTAGAAGATAAACATCAAGGACCTTGATTTGGGAAAAGTCGTTATGTATAAATGTAAGAACAATCAATTACCACAGCATTCTGATCTGCCGTTGTGAAGTTGTTGAAGTTTGTATTGCTCCAACATGGTATCAGTAGGATATGGAAACAGTATCTTTAACAAAAAGTTCTAACTTTAATGACAAACTGACACAACTCGCCATGTACTTCAATTGTACAGTTACTAGGCATCTTATTAATAAGACATTGCCTTTGATCAGTTTTTATTTGATAGGATCTGTACTCTACTTGAACTGCTGCTGCTTATTGCATCTACTGAGTTATAAATGTTTACTTTTGCAGCATAACAGATTAATTTTGCATGATTACAATATCTATTTTGACAGATGCATGTAAACCTTGAAATATACTAACTTGTTCTGTTTTAATGATATTCTACTTATGTAAAATAAAAATAACTTTCATTGCAGGCTATGGTATTGTGGGCTTTGCCATGTATTATTTCACTTATGATCCATGGATTGGAAAATTGCTGTATCTCGAAGATTTCTTTGTGATGAATGAATTCAGAGGTATCTTAGATATTAATATCTTAGAACCATGTTACAAGCAAGTCTTATACAAGTATGGTTTATAAAATTATAATTTTCCTATCTTTAGGCTCGGGCATTGGTTCAGAAATTCTGAGGAATCTGAGTCAGGTAAGTAGATGGTTATGATTTTCCATCATACAGAAAAATCAGACTGGTCAATTAAAGTAATTTTCAGTACAAGTGGAAATTGCATCTGATAAATTATTCTAATCATGCTTTGCTTTATTCATTGATGACTAGTTATCTAATGGGTCTCTTAAAACAATTTTCAAAGATTGTTTTAGTTCTAAGAAATAATTTAAGATGTATATACATAATGTTCATGTTATTTCCTTTTGAGCTAAGCAGAGTTATATACAGCATAGAAATTAGAAATAGTAAGCCAACAAAATTAAAGGCATGAGATAAGAAAAACATAGTTAAAATTAATTTACACCAAAATCATTCACTGTACCCCTCTGTATCTTCTATCCTTGTAAACCGTGCTTGCTTCCACACATCATTTCATACATTACTTTTTGTTCTTTCAATTATTGAATAATAACTTAATAATAAATGACAAAAATGTTGACATTTTAAAGAATCATTTCAATTGTGTGTCAACACTTTCACTGCTCATGCCAAGATAGCTGTTACTATGCTGTATTCAAAATATATTTGTGCATTGGAAGTTTGATGTCCTTTCCTCAGGAAGAAAAGTATTGTATGATCATAATTCAACCTTCATTAGAATTCGTCATGGTGGCACACTGAATCATAGCTCTAATAACTGTTGGCAAAATTATTTTTAAATACAATATAAACAGTAAGGCCAAAAGTTGATTCTCAATCCCATAAAGCTGATATTATTGAAATGCTATTGAAATAGTGCAGGGAGTCCTTACTTAACGATGGCAATCGGGACTGGAATTTCCATTGGTAAGCTGTGCAGTCATAAAGCATGACACCATGTGACATGCTGCTTAGCAGTGGAAATTCCAGTACTCTTAGTTGCCGTTAAGTGAATTACTGTGGGTTATTAAGCAAGGAAGTCACATGGTCGCCATTTGCAAACTTCTGTTAGCTTCCCCATTGACTTTGCTTGTAGGAAGCTGGCAAAGGAGGTTCTAGATGGCAATCACGTTGACCACAGGAAGTTGTGATGTTGTAATTGCGAGCTAGGTGCCAAGCCCCAAATCACAATCACATGACTGTGAGGACCAGTTATAACTACCGTTCATTCAGCACTGTCATAAGTTTGAATGGTCACTGAACGAGTGGTTAAATGAGGAGCACCTGTATGTTTTAGTTAAATGTGTGACTATGCAAGTATTGCACTGTCCATCCAGTTTTTCAGTTACTTTGTACCCTGTTATGAGTTTGTTTTTGTTAATCATTATTGAGATTAACCTGTAAAATACTCATATCTTGGGTTGCAAAGCAGTTAAAAACACATTGAGAATTTTTTTGTGTAGCTGCTTGGAACCTGTAATTTTTGAGGGATTCCTAGTGCAATTCACATGAGCACACAAGGAATATTTAAAACAGGCAGTAATTTTAATATATTTTTTAATATATATTTCCACAGTACCATGTCTTAAGACCACAAACATGCCACCTCTTTTATGTGTCCTGTTTTGCTTTCTTCAGATTGCTGTCAAATGCCGTTGCAGCAGTATGCACTTCTTAGTAGCAGAATGGAATGAACCTTCCATTCGATTTTACAAAAGACGGGGAGCTTCTGATCTGTCATCTGAGGAAGGATGGAGACTCTTCAAAATAGACAAGGAGTATTTGATGAAGATGGCAACTGAAGAATGAGGAGTTTTGTCAACCCAATAACAAATTAAATTTGCCATTTGTCATTTTGCTATTCCTGTCTTACTTTTCTTTCATTTTTAAATTGAAATAGTTAATGTGTATCCTAATCCTAAAGCTCTAATACCAGTGGTGTAGATGTTATTGCGTTGTGGACTTCTAGGACTCCAACAGGTAGCAACAGTTTATTTGCCTGTCCCCGTGTCAGTACATCTGTGATCCTAAAATGTCTATTATGTGTAACTTCATTGTCGTAAGTATCATTCAAATGTGTACAATGTACACACTGGTATGTTTTTTGTTTTTAATTATTTACATTTATGAGCAAATAAATGTTTTTCATATTAGTGATCACAAATGGTTGTGTTAACTTTTATTTACTTCTCCAATTGTTTATAATACCCTGGTACATCCATTACATTTTTTGTTGCCTTTTTACAATCTCATTCCACATATTATCACTACCATGTATCCCTTTCAATCTATCACCAGTTTGAAGAGCCCTCATGATGTTACTAGATATTTAATCCCTTGGGAAGTTTTACACAGATCAAAATAAGGCTTCCCTAGGAAAATTAAACTACTTCCAGTAGGCTGCTGTCACTGCCATTTTAGGGACCTTCAAGCTTGATAGTAAAGAGATAATAGTATGGGGGGACATGGAGGGGAAAAAGTAATGGCAGGTGAAATAAGTTAGGGCATTCTACACTGATTTCTTCCTCTTCAAAGATTCCTTTAACCACATTACAGATGACCATATGATTCATTGGTACAACTACTGTAGGTAATTCACTATAACGTTTTCCCCTATTGTAGCTGTTCAGTCTTTAAGGTGCCACAAGATTCATTTGTTTTATTTATATTCTGCCATCTTTAATACTGTTACTACAACAGACCATCATAGCTAGCCCTTTGGAAAGTGTTTTCTCCTGTTTTGAGAGAGAGAAAATTGAAGTATTTTTACATCGGTCCATGGAATCAGACATTCCTATACAACCACTTCTATTACTCAACTTTCCCTAATACTTTTGATAGGAAAGAGTGAGCAAAATATCACATAAAAGTTTGAATTCCTTCACTTTTTATACAGAGCCTCTGTTAATCTGTTCGATCATTTTTAATAACCTCGCCATCACATTCTGGAAAAATAACATCTTTTGAAATAACAGCACCAGTGAACAGAGTTGTTACAATCCCTCTTCAAGGAGAATTTATGACAAGGATCCATTGTTTCTCATGTTAATATTGGTTGCTCCTAGATTGGTTCTAAACTGTAGGTGTGATGACTGGGTGGATCGGCCAATCAAAGAATGACAACTTTGGACACCTCCTCCCGGGATGAATTCCAGCAGGAGGCAGGAGCTAAAGAAAGGGATTTGGAAGGAACAGGCGGACAGGTCTGAGCAAGGCTCCACGTCAGGAGATGGAAATCATTTTTAGGCCAGGATGGGATGGTATTGATTGGATAAAGATAATTTGCAGAAAGAAGTGAACCTGCTTTAAAACTCACTTTTAATAAAAGTCCATTTGTTCTTATGTCTGATAACCTGTATCTTCCCTGTGTTCCAGCCAGTTATTTTACCTTAGAGACTTAAAAGAATTTCTAAACCCTGAAAAGGTTATAGTTGTGGTAGCAGAAAAAAAAGGATAATAAAGTAAAAGGTTTCCACAAGAAGATCATGTGACAGTAGGTGATTCAGTGGTATGGAATGCCTCTTGATTCTTCCATGCCCCTCCTGATTGTTTTTTGGGGTTTTTTTGTCTTTAAAAACGTTCCCTTTTATTTTAAGAAAGCCTCTTGCCATACAGCTGAATATCTTTCACAACCTAGGTGTACAGAGGATGCAGGAACCCTGCAAGTGTATCGTCAGGTGTCCTTGGGCAAAAAAAAAAAAAAACACCAAAAATCTTTTGCAAGTTGTTAACAATTCCCTCAGTGCTCTTGGTATTCCAGTTTCTAAATCGAAACGAATCCTCCACTTCCTCAATCCTTACCCACAAACTAGTTTTTATAGCATCAGTTTAATTCAAACATCTCAGTAGCGTAAGCAGAGAAGCAGCAATCAGGCCAGAGGCAAAACTTCACTAAATATTCATACCTACACCAAGTTGCTTTTTAGAGGAACTCCATGCAAAAAAAAAAAGAATAAAAAATTGTTTGCGCTGTCCAGAAAACAGAATATGCTTGTAGTTTCCTGCTCCGATATCCCCAACTGTAAACATAAAACTTTTTAATACAGGTACTGAAAAGTTAGATATTTGGTCTTTTAAGGGAGTGAAATCATTCTCTGAAGTATTTTTTAGCATGGGGTATCATGCCTGAAAGTGTCTTGTATTCTTATGATCCAGACAAAAATCCTGACACCTCACAGAGATTATTATTCTTTCAGAAATATGATTATGTGAGTTAGGGTAGCCGAAGATTAATTTGGGCAGATTTATCCAGTCTATGCACTGTAGTTATTTTATAAAGTGGCTTGAAAATATCAAAATGGCCAATCAAAGCACTGGGCCAGGAGCAATGTTGCAGCAATTTACAGAAGATACAAAACATACTCAAGTTTTTTGCATTCTCCTCACCCATCCATGCACACCTCAATGCAATTTCATCAGGTTGTTTTACCTTGCTATTCTGTAAAGGTTGTTTTTGTTTTGTGCCTTTGAGTCAGACTTGACTCCTGGCAACTACAAGGACAAGTCCATAGAGTTTTGTTAGCAACATTTCAGACATGGCTTGCTGTTGCCTTCTTCCTAGGCTGAGAGAAAATGACTGGTCCAAAGTTACTCAGCTGGCTGAGAATATAGCTCATTCTATGATCCAGAATGATCAATCAGTTAGATTATCTGCTAATACTAAAATTCTGGAAACTCAGTTGTCACTGTATTTTAACAGCGCTCAACAGGTAAATGTAATACACAGTTTGATAATTCAGCCAAACTGCTATATTATGACAATAATACAGAACAGGCTGTCTCCTTATTACAGTTTAGTAGTCAAGTTCAAAACATAATTTTTTCATTCAGTCCTTTTAGAATTTATAGACTTTATGGTTTCCATGAATTTTATTACTGTATCTTCTGATTATATTTTAGTAAGCTACCCAGAACTATTGAAATTAGGCTGCATATACATTTGTTAGCTAAATAGATGACATAAAAACTTCTGGTATCAAATCCATGGCATTGTTCAGATTTCTCTCAGTAGGATACAAGTTCATATTCATGTTAGCTGACTTAGCATCAATAATCATGTCTGCTGCAACAGTTTGATGAGCATGAAATAACATTGAAAAAAAATCTATTGAGCTTAACTGAAGAGATGCAACAATACATTTTGGAATGAGTCTACTATTTCTTCATTACTGCATAAGTTGGAACATACAGGTTATATGCACAGCATCTTAACAAAACAGGAAATTCAGCTTCTGTGGTTTTACTGTAAGAGGAAATGAGACTAACTTAACATATACAATTTTTTAAAATGGAAAATACCTCAAAATCAAGACTATTCTTTTCTTAGAGGATTATTTTTAAAGAACAAAATTATGCATTCAGCAGAATCAAATAGCAAAGTTTTTCTTAAAAGAGTGCACTGTATTAAATAGAAAGTTGTGCAACTGAATTCACTCGTATCTACCCCATCTTTAGAGAAAAACAGCCCAATAGGCAAGGTTAAGTCCTTCGCCCTGGTTTGCTACTTATGGCAAATTAATTCCACTCACATGGAAAAGCCATTGGGCATGCAATATAAAATGACTCATTTCAGGATAACCTTTCCATTTCCCCTATTTACTTTTATTCACCAAACAATCTTTCTGTTAGGAAATGTGACCTTGATTATGTACGAGGAGACTTTGACTCACCATCATAGAATTTTGGAATTCTCTTTCATTAAACATATGCACATGTCAGTACCAGAATCTGTTGTAGAATTGTTGACCATTTTTGAACTGCCTGCTTTTATGTGGTCAAAGTTAGTCATAAGATGGGGTTTCATCTGTTTTTAATAGAGATCAGAATTAATGATATGCAAACAGAGATTAGAATTACTTATGTGCTAGTGCTTCAGTTGTTTTATAGCTGTTGCCAGTACTTGAAGACAGAAGCCAAGCTGGTGATGAGAAAATGCTGCTGCAATAGATTGAAGCTCCTTAAAATCTTCCACATAGATCACTTTCAGCTATATGAACAGTTAAGATTGTAACTTGTGGGTTTTATGAAATATTGCAGTCATGTTAACCAAACATATATGCTTAAAAGGAGGAAAACAATATATTATACATCTATGGCTTTGGAGGACAAATCAAGTATCATCTTCTTGCTTTGCTCATCATCCAGGATGTATCTTATTGGCAATTATTGGAAATAGGATACTTGACTAGATTTATCCTTGACTTGGTTCTGAAGAATTATTGGAAACAATAGGATATTATTATTGTTATTATTATTTAGTATATTTATATACTGCCTTTTCTTCAGGATCTTGACAGCTTATATGACAATCTCCCTTCATTCCATTCCCCAGCAACAACCCTGTGGGTTAGGTTGGGCTGAGAAAGTCTGTGACAAGCCCAAAGTCAGCCTGTGAATGTCCACGTCTCCCCAATTCTAGTTCAGCACCTTAGCCACTACATCACACCAACTCTCATCTTCTTATCTGAATATGTCCCATATTTCAGGCATATTTCCTACAGGCAAATATGAGCTATGGAGGTACCTTAAAAAAAACCCATGGAACTTCTAAAATAAAGCTAGGAAAACTACATGTAATTCTTCATGTTTGTGATGCAAACAAGTTGAATGAATGAAATAAATGGGTAGCAGTCAAGTGGTATACATGGAAACAGGAAAGCCAGTGCCCTAATACTTTAAGGGGGAAATGACAGCACAAAAAACTTGTTTAAAAAGGCTTCATTATAAGCATTACTACATTCTAGATCTATTGCAATACCTCTTTCCCTTTGTGTATACACATACACGCTGAGAAGTTATGAAGACATACAGAAAATCAAATAGTAGTAGTCACCCCTATTAGTATCATGCAGAATTACATTCATACAAGATTTCACTTCCTTTATAACCACTTGTTGAATTCTAAAAGAAATTCCACATAATTGCCAAAGAAGATACTGTACAAGATTTGAAAATGAAATCTTTTAAAATGTTCAGAGGAAAATGTCTCTGGTTTGAGTGTTTAATGTCCTTAGAATATGTAATACTCATTGCTGCTTGTGTTATTTTGCCTGTATATTTGAATTCATTTTTTAAATGTTTATATTTGAGACTGAAACTGAAAACATATTTTATAAGTGTGCTAGCCTTTTTTCACATCAGAGACATTTCATGTAAATAGCTGTAAGCAATTCAAATTTTATCTGTCATGCCCAATCTTGGGTTGGATGTTTGGGTTTCCATACTCTATAGCTTTTCTTTGTGGCTGGCCAAGAATAAATCATTAGCTATGCTATAATTAGTTCCCACCAGTTGAACATTCTGACCTATACTCAACTGTGCATTCAAGCAAGAAAAAATGCCTAAAGTAAAAAAAGAGTTTTGTTCCCATCAGTCTATAGAGGCAAGCTCACAGATGCTCCATTATATACTTCCCACTGACCTCTGTTATCCAGAAGAATTTAATTTGCAGAGGAAAGGGAAAATTCAAACAACCTATTGTATTTGTGATCTTTTTACCCCTGCCCCCATCAACAAGACAAGTTAGCGTTGTTACTTACCAAAAATGTTATTCATTTTTTCTTAACTTTCTTTACAGATTCTAGTGAGATAACACAATGTAATTAACACAAGAAGAAAAACAAATGTTTTTTCAATATTCATTTTAATCAAGCCCATAAACACTAACAAAGGACTGAGAAGTTTTGAGATTTAATTTGCAGCCCAATCCCATTAAATTCAGTTGAACATATTTCTTTGCAAGTATTGCTCAGGAATTCAGACAGAGACTCAGGTTCTGAAGGAGCCCAAGATAATCATGCAGAACTGATTGGAAGTCCAAAGCTGGCAGAATACAACCATATCATTTCTTATTCAAACATGATGTTTTCAAGCCAGGCTTTCCAAAGCAAAAACAATAGCAAACCATGGTCAATCTTCATAGATTCTGTAATTTAAAAAAAAAATAAAGTGTTGATCTTCTATATGTTCTCTCTCCATCTATATTCAAAAGAATAATGATGTTAGATTATCCTGAAGTACATCTTGAAATATGGGTTATAATGAGCTGGAATGCAACAAATCTTTTATAATTTTGTATATTCAAAATTTGTAAAGTATGTTCACAGAAGTGAGACTGGCAAAATTTGGTTGAATTCTGACATAGTAGAAAAATGTGAGAATTATCTAGGAGCAGTGTGAAGAAATCTCTTTGCTTTTCTGTACCACTTTCCAACTAAAATTCCTTTCCAACTAACTGAAACAAAGCCCTAATTTCAGACTGACAGATTGAAGGTATTCCATTGGTTCCTCTAGGCCCCTGCTATTTTAATAACTCAGAATGCTTCTGGGCCCATGGGAAGTAAAGATACCGTTTCAATGTGGGAAAAAAAACCCCTATCACTGCTTCTTAGTTACGAGGAAGACTGGATAAGGGCAGCAGAGCAACTAGGGTGGGTAAATCTAGTAAGAGGAAATGAATCAGCTGAGAGGTGGCTGACAGAGTATATTGTGCATACATAAGACACAGAATAGAAATGAATTAAAGAAATAAGGCCATATCATGTACAAGGAATACAAATGAAAATGTTTAGTTTAGTTTAGTTTATTATTACTTGATTAGTCCTACAACCTTATCAATAAAACAAAACAAAATTAAAATCATGTAATATACAATACATAGTCCAAATCCAAAAAGGAAAACAGGAGAAAATACAGTGATAAAATACATATGTGATAATACAAGGAGTCAGTAATCAGATAAACGAATCTCCTTTACAGGATACCCCAATTTGTTCAATGTATTGGGTTCTTAAGACTGCTGCCTTAGTTATAAACTTAGCAGTTCTTCGTGCAATATGCACATTAGAACCCAGGAGGAAATAAGGCAATCTATGGTTTGGACCCCAGTATGCTGTTCTTTCCAATACGGATGATAGATATTTAAGCCTAATAGGTGCATATAATTGGCAACTGAACAAAATAGGGAAAATATTTTCAATGGCTGGTGAACCGCATATGCAGGTTCTCTTAAGATATGGCAAGTAGTGGAAGTGCCCATATTTGACCATGGAATCCATCAACTCAAATCTAGCTCTGGAATAGGCCCTTCTTAAAAATTGTGGTAGACTCGATGATAGATATTTTTCAGGTTCAAAAGTAATTTTATTTTTAGCCAACCATCTTAAAGATCCATTTTTAGTCAATAATTCCATATCAGTTTGCACACTAATATGTAGGACTCTCTGTTTAAAAATTTCCCTTGCCTGAGAGGCCATCAAAGACAGATGCTAAATGGAAAACCCATATTGTGAAATAACTTCAGAGAGTTGGCTGAACCAGGAATTGGGCTGTGCCATATTTATCTGTTCAGTTAACCATATTTTGGGAAGTCTATCAGAGTCCATTGATTGGATCCTCAGCCAGTATGTGAAAGCTTTAATTATTAGATGACTATGTAAGGAATGGATACCTAATTCTGCTCTGACTGCAGGGGCAGATGTATTCTTATCAGTTCCCAATATACATCTTAAAAAGAGGGTCTGAATTTGTTCAAGTGGGGTAGCTTTATTTAAACCCCACAATTCTGCACCATAGGTCAACATTTAGGGCAAAATGTTTTGCCCTAAACATTTTCAATATAGGGGTCAGGGTGCCTGGGTAATTGTAGTTAAATAATTTATATAATTTTTAGTGCTTGCTGCAGTCCTTGCTGAGCTTCTTTTGAAGTGATTTACCCACAACCCTGTACTAGTAAAAACCGCTCCTAGATAGTTAAAAAGATTCACTTGTTCAGTAGACTCCCCATTTATCTGCCAGTTATATTTCTCTCATTTCCTGCTCAATACCATCACTTTAGATCTGCTTTTATTAATGTTTAAAAAATTATGAGCACAATAGGTATTCAGTTTTTACGGCAGTCTTCTCAAGCCTATTTGGGAATGTGTCATTAGAACCATATCATCAGCGTATAATAAAATATTAATAAATTTATCAAGGATCTTTGGCATATGAGTGCCTACATCATACAGGAATCCAGGTAAATCATTGACGTACAGATTAAAAAGCATTGGGGCTAGAATACAACCCTGTCTGACACCATTAAATGTGGGTATACTCTTAGTTAAAGAGCCATTTACACCTGTACAAACTTTCAGATGGATGTTTGAATAGAGGGCCTTAACCAAGAGTAAGAGTCTGGGTTCCATATTTAAACTGGCCAATTTCTTCCACAGAATATTTCTATTTATCGAGCAAAAGCTGTGCTAAGATCTATAAATGCAGTAAACAGTTTCTTGCCATTTGTTAATTGCTTTGATAAAAGATGGTATAAAGTAAAATAATTGTCTATTGTGGAGTGCTCTGGTCTAAATCCAACTTGTTCCTTCACTAAGATTTCCATAACCCAATCTTTTTTGCTCAACAGATGCTTTGCATACATTTTGGCCACAATTCCAATAAGGCTTATTGGTCTATAATTTTTTTTGGATCACCTTTATCTCCTTTTTTATGTAAGGGAACTATAATGGCAACTTCCCATCCAACTGGAATGCAACCTGTATTATTTATATAGGTAAACAGCCCTGCTAATAGTGGGGCTCACCAATCAATATGAGTCTTAAAAAGTTCCGGAGGTAAGAAATCTTCTCCAGGCACCTTATTAGATTTTAAGAATCAAATAATAATTTTGATTTCTGATACAGATAGAGGACACCAGGGGGAAGATTTTCAAAGGGTAAAAAATCAGTACTTTGTTTATGCAAAAAGCCCTGGTTAGAAAATAAATTAGCATAATAAACCTCCCAGGTTGAAGCTGGAATGGGAATATCGAATTGGAATTTACGTTCCTTCAACAAACCTGATACAGTATTCCAGAAGAAAACTGAATTTGTCCCTTTTGCCCAGAATTCCAGATCTGACCATAATTTAGCTCTATAAGAAGCTTTCTTAAAGGCTATCAATTTCTTATAGTCACGCCTAATTTTTAGCATTTTTGCATGATTTTTTGTAGTAGGATGTCCCAGAACCTGACACATTGCTGCCCTCAAAATTTTTCTACTGTGTAAGCAGTCAGAATCAAACCAATTTGAACTAATTTGCTGACAGTTTCTAATAGGAAGTTTATCAGTTAAAAATTTTCTCAGCGCGTGACACAGGTCAGCTTATTGGGTCAAGATTTTATCTGAACCTAAAGTAAAGGAAGAAATTGGGTTTCTCCAAGTCTGGGCCTGTTCAGAATTCAAAAAGATTGATAATGCTCTGGTATCAACCTTAGCCCAATTAAGTTTCCTGTCCTGCCTCACTTCAAGATTAGCTAATATCCTCTTATCATCGGGCGTATATAACCTTATGTCTGATCTGCCTTGAAAAGAGACTGTGATTCGTTGATGATCACTATCCTCCCTCACAAGGACTTGGATATCTGAAAACAGCTCAACTTGTCATGAGAAACACATATGTAATCTAAAACACTACTGGAGTTTCCTGAATATGTAAAAGGATATATAAAATCAGGTTCCTTACCCCTAAAATATGAAGGTTACATTTATAGATCAAGGAGACCAGTTGTGAACCTGTGATATTTCTTTTAAGGTCATTAGAAAGCCAGAGTGGATCATTTATTAAATAATCCTCAGGTATAACACCCAAGTGAACAAAATTTTGTAGAGAGGCCCCCACCCTGGCACTGAAGTCTCCTGCCAGAATTACAGTGGCTTTAGGATGATTTATATTTATCTTTAACACTGTCTCTTCTAGATTTACCCAAATATTAGGAGAAAAATAAGAAGTACGTGGTGGAAGATAAATATTCAATAGTACCAACTGAAAGGATTTATAAGAAAATTTAACTGCTAAATAATGGGGGAATCATCTCCAAGAATCAATTTCTGTCCTTGCCAACCCAGCTCTGCTTTGGCAAGAATAATCAGTCCTCCTTATGCCCGCCCTTTAGTCTTATACTTTTTTGCAGGAATAATCCAGGAAACTAAAACCTGGTAGTTGTATCTCCTCTTCATCTAAGGTCAACCAGGTCTCCTGGAGTGCCATGAGATCAAAATTTGAGAGGAACTCCACCAGGTCCCAATCCGTTGCTCTAGACTTCCAGCCAGCAATATTCCAAGTTAGAAACTGGATAGAATCTTCATGCTGGGAGTTGGTAGAAATAGTTGGAAGGGTATTTTAATTTTGGGTTAGGGCACAGGAATTTTTCAGTCATTCTGCAGAAGTGATATTATCCAAAATTTCTCTGGTATCCAAAAAACAACAACAACCATACACTAATTTGGCATTTGCTTGCCTTAATCGGTTTTTACTCAGTTTTCTTGTTCCTCACATAGTCCTCAATTTTTGGCTGCTTTGTAGGATTGAATAGAATCTGAGCACCTGGGCTAGTCCTTTTGCATTTCTTGTTCTTCCCCATTTTTCTTGACAATGCAAATTGATTTTCCAACAACTTCACCTAATCAGAAGGACGCCCCCCATGTTTATTTAAAAAACTAGATATGTAGCTAAGCTACTTATAAAAATGAATAAAACAAATAAAATATCATAGGGAACTCAGCAAGGAAGCTGCTGCTCTGTCGCCATCTTAGCTCCACCCCCCAAATGAAAATACAGTGGGGCAAAAAAGTATTTAGTCAGCCACCAATTGTGCAAGTTCTCCCACTTAAAAAGATGAGAGAGGCCTGTAATTTTCATCATAGGTATACCTCAACTATGAGAGACAAAATGGGGAAAAAAATCCAGAAAATCACATTGTCTGATTTCTTAATATAGGAATATACAGTGGGGCAAAAAAGTATTTAGTCAGCCACCAATTGTGCAAGTTTTCCCACTTAAAAAGATGAGAGAGGCCTGTAATTTTCATCATAGGTATACCTCAACTATGAGAGACAAAATGGGGAAAAAAATCCAGAAAATCACATTGTCTGATTTCTTAATATAGGAATATACAGTGGGGCAAAAAAGTATTTAGTCAGCCACCAATTGTGCAAGTTTTCCCACTTAAAAAGATGAGAGAGGCCTGTAATTTTCATCATAGGTATACCTCAACTATGAGAGACAAAATGGGGAAAAAAATCCAGAAAATCACATTGTCTGATTTCTTAATATAGGAATATACAGTGGGGCAAAAAAGTATTTAGTCAGCCACCAATTGTGCAAGTTTTCCCACTTAAAAAGATGAGAGAGGCCTGTAATTTTCATCATAGGTATACCTCAACTATGAGAGACAAAATGGGGAAAAAAATCCAGAAAATCACATTGTCTGATTTCTTAATATAGGAATATACAGTGGGGCAAAAAAGTATTTAGTCAGCCACCAATTGTGCAAGTTTTCCCACTTAAAAAGATGAGAGAGGCCTGTAATTTTCATCATAGGTATACCTCAACTATGAGAGACAAAATGGGGAAAAAAATCCAGAAAATCACATTGTCTGATTTTCCCCATTTTGTCTCTCATAGTTGAGGTATACCTATGATGAAAATTACAGGCCTCTCTCATCTTTTTAAGTGGGAGAACTTGCACAATTGGTGGCTGACTAAATACTTTTTTGCCCCACTGTATATTCCTATATTAAGTAAGTGGAGAGTCAAATAAATGGTGTTATACTTTGGGGTTCTTACCCCTTGTTTGCCTTGTATTCAGACTCTGGAGCAGTTATTTGCCTACTAGCCTCAATGGTTTGGCCTTCAGAGATAGCACACTTGAGACTTTCTGAGTGTACTAGCTCAGAAAGGCGGAACCAGATTCCCTATCTGATGTTCAAGAGACACATGCTGGTATGTTGAATAATCTGGAAATGTTCATTATCCCATGGATGGTAGTGGTTTTTGTGTTTGTTTGCAATAACAAGAATTATGAATTGAGTGTTCAGGAACATATGAAACATATGTTGGATCAATTTCTTTCCCAACTTGCTCAATATATCTTTTCCAACTGGCACCAGCACATTCTCTACCTTCTGTCCAAAAGATATTTTCACTGGAGATGCCAAAGTATTATTTCTCCCATTGAACAACGCAGCAGAATTTAAATCTTGGTTCCTATTTTAAAAACTAAGCTTTTACAGAGTTACAGGTTTTAAAAAAATGTTATTGCTGTAATTAAAAACATTGCGCACATTACCGTACCTTTGGAATTATCAGAAGAGATAACATCAGTAATAAACACAGCTAATGGTTTTTAAAGTACCCCTATTGGCACGACTGCTCTCTCAGCATATTTAAAAGAAAATAAGAAGGAATCTAATGTTACTGAACATAAAAAAAAAAATTAGCTAAAACCTAACCAACAAACAAGTCAAACAACAGGTATTGAGTGCAATGGATCAGCAATATGAAAACAAGTCTAACTTCTCTTACCTCTCCCTGAGTTTGCATATTTCTTCGCTTTCTCCCTAATAAGGCTTTAAGGAGGATTTAGAAGCTTTTGCTTCTGCTTTAAATGAATCATGGCATACTATGTTGTAAGTTATAAAGCAGTGTGATATGGTGGCTTAGGACTATATCTAGTTGAACTAGGACTACAGAGAATGAGGTTCTAGTTTGCTGTCAGCCATGGAAACTCATTGGGTGACTTGGGTGAGTCACTTCTCTCATTCAGTCCAACCTATCTCATACAGCTGTTTTTATGGGGGGAAACTGGAGGAGGAAGTGGTGGGGACACCACTTTGAGCTCCTGGTAGAAAGACAGGATATAAATTTAATAAAGTAAATACAATGGCCAAATCTGGACAACTTACTCTCAACTACTAAACCATAATTTATAAATTTGTTAGGAGGACAATATTTAAACAACTGCCATTAAATGGAAAATTCTAAACTGCTAACAGGTATAGTGAAAAAATAGAGGGGGAGGTTATTTATTTAAATGATTTATAGAGCCACCCTTTCACAGCAGCTATTCGAGGCAGTGTACAAAGATTAAAACCATCACAACAATATAAACCCATGGTGTCTCGGTTAAATAATTACCCCCAAAACAAAAGCCAGATCACCAACAAAGGTCACCTAACTGCCTGGCCTAAATGCATAGGGAATTGTACATGGGGAATTCAGCAGTATGTTTAAATGTACTCTATTTAGACTAGTTTTGTCTATTCTAATGGTTCACAGGTCTTCATTGTTGCTGTACTAATATTTTAAAGCACCAATTTCTTTTAACTAGACAGTGTTATGATTCAGTATATTCTTTCTGTACGCAAACAGGGCAGCTTCTGGTAAACTAAAATTGCTCATCTCGAGAATGCAGTGGATTAGTTTGATATATGCATTAAATTATTCCATTTGTCTACATTATTAGAACAATTTAGAACAGAATTCAGGAATATTTATTTTTATTCCAGCAACTAGCCAGAAATCTTGGCAGTACTGAATGGACCTTTGTTCTCTGTCATTTGTATTCCTTATAAAGAGTAATTTTAATACTATAATTTTGTCCTAAGAACAGTACGTGATTGCTGTTTCTTACCTGTTCAACAAGAAGCAATGGAGTATTTTATTTTATTGGTCTTTCTTCTTGCACTTTCAATGCTTTATCACTTTCTGCGTCAGACTTAATGAACAAATAAACAAGGAAATTAAAAACAAAAAACACACAGATTGAAGTTATTTAGAAACAAAGATAACTGGGAGATAACCAAGATAGGAATTCTTACAAAACTGCTTACTAAAACATTTAGAAATATCTAACCTCAGATTCTATATCTTCATGTTAAGATGGCATCTAATTTTAATTTATTCTATGTGTATATTTTGGAATATTTGAGAAAAACTAGTATAGAGCCTTGGATTTTCAGGAAAAAAAATTCACAAAGTGACTCCTTTGATTATATAATTCTGCCTATGGGCAAAAAAGCACTCTTCGGAGTGAAATAGTCATATATTTGAGTAAATCAGATACCTAAGCTAGAAAGCAAAATAGTGTTGCAGATTAAAAGGAAAGTGTCTATATCTATTTTAATAATAAAACATGGGTTAGCAACCTTTCCAGATTATGAAATGTTGGTCACAATTATTTCTTTAATTTTAATGTCGGGGGATGGGGGCATTGCTTTAGAGGCTAATACACTGGCATCCATAAGCTTTCTGTTTTCCTCTTCTAGCTTGGAGAGATTAGCAAGCCAAAGATTTAACCAAGATTTAAGATTTCCACTAAGATTTAACTCTAATTCAAACAATCATCTAAGATGGAGAGAATAAATCTCATGCTCTATATGCTATGCTATGACGTACAACTGCCATTAGCTCTATCCAGCATAGGCAATGGCAAGGGAGCTGTAATCCAAACTATACTGAAGGTATCAAGATGTTTATCTCTAACCTAAAATACACCATGTGCACAATTATTAGGCAAGTGAGTATTTTGATCATATCATCATTTTTATGCATATTTTCTACCTCCAAGCTGTATAAACCCGAATGCTTATTGGATATAAGCATATCAGGTGATGTATATTTGTGTAATGAGGGAGGGTATGGCCTAAGGAGATCAACACCCTATATTGTGCACAATTATTAGGCAAGTGAGTATTTTGATCATATCATCATTTTTATGCATATTTTCTACCTCCAAGCTGTATAAACCCGAATGCTTATTGGATATAAGCATATCAGGTGATGTATATTTGTGTAATGAGGGAGGGTATGGCCTAAGGAGATCAACACCCTATATCAAGGTGTGCATAATTATTAGGCAGCTTCTTTTCCTCAGGCAAAATGGGTCAAAAATTGTAAAAAGTCTTTCAGAGGGACGCAGCACTCTTGAAATTGCTAAGATATTGGAGCATGACCACAGAACCATCAAACATTTTGTTGCAAATAGTCAACAGGGTCGCAAGAAATGTGTTGAGAAGAAAAAACGCAAATTAACTGCCAAAGATTTGAGAAGAATCAAATGTGAAGCC